CCTCCCACCCCCCATCAACCCTCAGTTTGCTCTCAGTTCTCAACAGTCTCTTATACTTTGGCTCTCTCCCACTCTAACCTCTTTTTTATTTTTTTTCCTTCCCCTCCCCCATGGGTTCCTGTTAAGTTTCTCAGGATCCACATAAGAGTGAAACCATATGGTATCTGTCTTTCTCTGTATGGCTTATTTCACTTAGCATCACACTCTCCAGTTCCATCCACGTTGCTACAAAAGGCCATATTTCACTTTTTCTCATTGCCACGTAGTATTCCATAGTGTATATAAACCACAATTTCTTTATCCATTCATCAGTTGATGGGCATTTAGGCTCTTTCCATAATTTGGCTATTGTTGAGAGTGCTGCTATGAACATTGGGGTACAAGTGCCCCTAATATATAGGATAATTTAAAATAAAACTGGAAGTGTAGTGAATTTCAAGATCAAAGGGATGATAATTGATCTTTTAATTATCAATTAAAGTGCATAAGAATGCCTGGTTTTATAAAACTGCTGCCACAGCACATCATTAATAATGATTTAGTAATAAGATTGTGCTACTTTGATGGACATCTGATTGTTTACATTTGCATTATTATAAGGTATCAATGCTTTCCTTAGCATGTTCTCTGAACATTTTATCTATTAAGGATATTAGTCCACTATTATATAGTTTACTTTTTACAAATTTTCTTTATGATGTCCTTTGTTGTATGGTTATTTAACTTTTATGTAATTAAATCTCTCTTTTCCCTTATAATTTGTTCTATGTTTTCTAGTCTCAGAAAATGTTTTCTTGTCCAAATATTTCATAAACATTCACTTCTCATTATTTTGGAGGTCAGGTGAGATATGTATGTGTGCACCCTGAACTTTGACATCTAACTGTTCAGTCATATAAATGTATTGGTAGGATTAGAAATACAGCTTACTGTTAGATGCCTCAGTAGAATTCACGTAGTCATTTTTTTGTGGATGGGATACTGTCATATTTGTCTACATATCCCCAGCACCCAGCACAGTAGGCACACAGTAAGTATTTACTGAATTAATTTGCATTGAAAAAAAATGATGAACATGTTAAACAAAGTTTCTTCTCTTCCATTTAGGCTATCCCACAGTGGAGGAAGAAGTGTAGTTACTCTGTCACCAGTAAAAATCAACTGAGTATTACATTATTCAAATCATTCCTCTACTCAGAATTTTATGCCACCTTTCCAGATTCTTCAGAATAAAGTCCAAACTCATGAACTAAAATGTAAATGGTATTATACTTTAGAACTTGGCATCCCAATGTTAAAAACAGAAAGGTGATCTTTAGCGTAGAAGTTGTAAAGTACTTTTTTTCCACAGAGAGAAAGAATACAGGAATTGAAGTCTAGACAGGTATTTCTTTTTCTGAAACTGAAATCCCTTGAAACAAATGAAAGTATCACTTTGAATATTATCCGTCTTTCTCAGCAAACTTCTAAATCTGCTTTTTTAAATTTTATTCCTGAAATGTGGTTCTTTCAAATGTTTTTAAGTCTGATTGAAACTTATGAAAGGAATTACATTTAGGTAATCTTTAACTTCTTGCAGAGTCCACTGAGTTTATGTTTTCTTTTCCCCTTCCTCAAAAATCATTTAGGCTTTATCCATTCAACATAATGAAACCTTACATCTGTATCTTGTTTTTGTTTTAAATTTCTTAAGCACTTTCACAAACATTTTCTCATATGAGTAAACTCTTACATAAAGAAGTAAAGCAAGTTGCCTACTATTAAACTGGTAGCCACTGGCAAACCTAGATTCCAGACTGGGATCTGGGGCATCCAAGTTACTAAGCTGCCATCAATACTGTCCCAAATATTTATATGTATTTTAAATCTCCATTTATCTATTTTATGTATAAATTTGATATGAACACAGTATTGTATCACTTAGGACCAACATATAACTCTTGGTGGTCTTTTACCAACTATTAACAGGAAACAGGATCATTCCCTGTTTTGAGTATGAACTGGACTTAGACCCAAAGTGGCTACCCCTGTTTTCCCCAAACCCGACCCCTAGGTTATATAGACATTCTGATATGGCAGGGAATGTGAAGCATATTGGCTCACTGCTTTTCCTTTCTTAAATTCAAGCATGAACAACTACTTCAGAATGAATGAAAACAATAGTTATGCTAAGAATTTTCCAAGATGTGCAACTTTTATGAAATGAAGACAGTTGACCACTTAAAAAGAACAGTATTTCGAATAGCATAGGTTACTACTTAATTTTTAAGACACTAATGAACATCATAGTTTCCAGAAACAAGAATAACTTTATAATAAAAATAGTTTTCATATTATAAAACCATATACATTTCAAGAAATAGTATATCATAGCCTACTCCCAGTTTTAATGTCTTTGCTTCTTTTAACAGCTATCCAGGTGGATTTAGACAAGTAACAGCTGCTCAACTTCACCAGAAGGATCCAGTAGCAGTAAGTTTATTGTATTTTTTATTTATTAATCATCTGTGGGAAGACTGGTTCAGGAACTGTTTTTCCAGTCTAGCTCCTCTTCTAATGTAGCTACCATTCAAGGCTATAAATTCTGCACTTTAACTGTATCACACAAGTTTTGATAAGCATTATTTCATTATCATTCAATTCTATATAATTACTGTTTACTATGTTTTGCATTTAGCCAGTTTTGTTGCTTTTCTTTTTAATTACTTGATACTTGCGTGATTATCTAGAATATGTTTGCTGAAAATGTCTTGGAGAGAGAGATGTATATATCTATGTATGATTATACATCCATTATATCAAAAATGCAAAGTACATTCCAATCAAAAAAAGTCTTACTGACCTTTTTTTTGTTTATTTGATTTATTGATTACCTGAAAGAGTTCTGTTCCGAACTCAATTGTGGGTTTAGTTTTCCCCTGTATTTCTGTCAGTTTTTGTTTTGTATGTTTTGAAGATTTAGTGTTAGATGAATTTAAGTTTGGAATTACATTCTTCCTAACAATTAATCATGGTACCAACAGCCATTTTTGTCTCTAATTATACTTTTTATCTCGAGGTCTTTTTGTTTTTTTAGTAAACTATATCAGCCTTCTTTTGATAGTGTTTGCCCAAGAAATCATTCTACTTTAAATCTATTTATTTATTTGTTTATTTATTTATTTTATTTATTTACTTATTTATTCTTCTGTCACAGAGGTCATATTTATTGATCGTTAACATCCTAAGCATAGTACTATGTGCTTTATATGATTTTTTTAAACATAATTTATTGTCAAGTTAGCTAATATATAGTATATACAGTGGCTCTTGGCTTCGGGGGTAGATTCCTAAGCTTCCTATGCTTACATACAATACCCAGTACTCATCCCAACAAGTGCCCTCCTCAATACCCATCACACCTGTTTTCCCCTCCCACCCCACCCCCGCCACCATCAATCCTCAGTTTGTTCTTTGTATTTAGAGTCTCTTATGGTTTGCATCCCTCTCCGTTTGGAACTATTTTTTCCCCTTCCTTTCCCCCATGGTCTTCTGTTAAGTTTCTCAAGTTCCATATATGAGTGAAAACACATGATCTCTTTCTCTGACTGACTTATTTCACTTAGCATAATACTCTCCACTTACATCCACATTGTTGCAAATGGCAAAATTTCATTCTCTCTCATTGCTTGCCAAGTAGTATTCCATTGTATGTATAAACCACAAAAATTTTCTAAGGACCTTGTTTGATCTGGAGGAAAGTAAAGATAATTGATTAATCTTACACTTCTAATAAACAAACTCAACCCGAAAGAAGGCAAGAAAGGAGATTTTATTTAATTTTTTCATCTCCTTCTTTCTTGCCTTCTTTTGGATTGAGTTTATTTATTAGAAGTCTAAGAGTAATCAGTCTTTACTTTCTTCCAGATCAAAACAAGGTCCTTAGACGATTTTTAACACCTACTGTCCCTCACACAGTCAACAATTTTTAAAACCCTCCCAATTCAACATTCTTGTTACTGTTTTATACAGTTAACTGATTTTTTATTATTTTCTTTGCTTACAAATCCTTTTCCCATAACAGTCTTCCTTTGGGATTAATTTCCTTCTTGAAATACTTCTTTTGACATTCCTATCATAACATTCTTTTAATAATAAGCTTTTTATTTTTGTCTGAAACTGTCTTTATTTTTGCTTTCTTCTTGAAAGATAGTTTTGCTTATTTAGTATGTGCAATTCTAGGATAACCATTTTTCTCTCTCACCTGTTTGAAGCTACTGTACAAGCAGATTTTAGCTTCTGTTATTGCTATTGATATGTTAGATGTCAGTTGAACTGTTTCTTTGTATGTATTCTGTCTCTTTTGCAGGGGTGGGGGGATCCTTCTGAGATCTTTCCTTTGATTTTAGTTTTCCTGTTTCTTTTCAAATCTTACTTATTTTGCTTAAGGACTGGCATCTTCAGTGCTGAAAATTTGTCAGCTCTTATGTGCTCTCTTATTCCCTTTATTCTCTATCTGTTCTTTCCCTTTGGAAATCTGATTACATTTGCAGTTGACTGTCTCATTGTACATGAATCATTAGCTCTCTTCCATATTTTATGTCTCCCTGTCTGACATTGTGCTGCATTGTCAATAATTTCTTTTTAATTTTTTTAACATTTATTTATTTTTTGAGAGAGCACAAGCAGGGGAGGGGCAGAGAGAGAGGCAGACACAGAATCCGAAGCAGCTCCAGGCTCTGAGCTGTCAGCACAGACCCTGATGCAAGGCTGTAACCCACAAACTGTGAGATCATGACCTGGGCCAAAGTCGGACACTTAACAGACTGAGCCACCTAGGCGCCCCTTGTCAATAATTTCTTAATGTTCTACTTTCTCTAATTATCTTTTTTACCTATATCTAATCCAATCAACCCTTTTATTGAGTTTCCTTTTTTTTTTTTTATGTTTATTTATTTTGAGAGAGGGAGAGAGCATGTGGGCAGGGGAGGGGCAGAGAGAGAGAGGGAGAGAGAGAATCCCAAGCAGGCTCCACACTGTCAATGCAGAGCTCAACGTGGGTGGGGCTCAATCCCACAAACCATGAGATCATGACTTGAGCCAAAATCAAGAGTTGGCTGTCTAACTGACTGAGCCACCCAACCACCCACCCCCTTTTAGTGAGTTTCTAATTTGAATTTTTTTTTTCCCATGAAGTTTTACTACTTGTTTCTTTTTCAAGTTTGCTGCTCAGTTTTGACAGTCTTTCTGTTTCTTTGTCATACTTTGGTTCCTTATATTTTTTAAGCATTGTAAACCTAATTCTTAGTGTTTATATCTGATTCTAATATTTGTGTTCTTCGTGGCTTTGCAATTTATTGTTTCTGCTCAGGACACTTGATAAAGTCATGGCCCTTGAAACTTCATCACTGAGAATTCTTTGAGACCTGTGTCTTCCAAGTGGATTTATTCACAAAAGATTGACTTAGCTTCTGGCAGATGCATGAAGCTATACCAACCTAAGACCTGTTTAGGCTATACTCTAGACTTCTGGGTTTTGATCCCAAGGGTGAATTTTAGGCCTTGAAGCCTTGTGCAGTAAGGCTCATAGTTATCTGTTTCCTATCAGGAAAGATTTGAATTTTTCAATTTCTCCACTGTACACCCTGGATGTTGGCTTTCTGTTGAAAACCTAGGTTTATGAGGAAGTCTTTGAATCTACTTCCTGACCAAAAAGAGGTAGTCCTTTGAAACCCAAACCCTGCACTAAGCTGATGCCCTCTGGGCAAATGCCAGCCTCAGGACTTTTTTTTTTTTTTTTTTTTTTGGTAGTACTTTGTCCTACTTCTGACCTCCAGTTGTTTCCATGCTTTAGAAAAGATCTTTAAAAACATATTATTAACTTCATTAACATTACTTATTATTTGAGTAATATACTAGGAGAAAGTTTTAACCTAAATATTACCTTTCAGTATTGCTAGAAGCGAAGTCTCCTGTTGCCATTTCACAATTTTATATTTCCTTCCTTTCCACTTCACAACCCAGTCTTTGAAATATACACATAAGATAGATAACATTTTCCTCATTAGGAACTATTTTAGCTTTTTACCTAAATACATTTATAAATGAACAAAGTGTGCCGTGAAGACATTCTTTTGTATTTCCCTACAATAGCGAATAAAAATAAACACGTATTGTTAGGATGCAACCATTTGTTTGGTGTAATACTGCCTACACTTTTCTTGGGGGTGAGGGAAAGGGGGACATTTTACTTCTTATCATTTATGCGTATTTTACAAAACTATGCTCAGAGATTCCTTAAGAAATATTTAATCTTCTATTTCAAGATGTGTTTTGGGGCTATTACAGATCAATAAAATATCCTATTTTGACTATATGGATTGTATATATGGTATTAAAAACTTGTAAGGGCTGCTGATAGTGTGTACTGTAGGTGCTACAATAAATTGTAGTTTTACTATTTAATAAATATTTTTAAAATTTAAGTTTCTTTGTTATTCTGGCATGCTCACTGTACACTAGGAGGCAGTAGAGTCCTACTTTTTTATAAGAATTTGGCATTTGATACCATTTGTAGAAACTGTTCCAACTTATGTTTTATAAACAAATATTAGAATACATTACAAAATGTTTGATGAAGTCCTGGAAAACAGTTCAGAATTAAATCCATTTGAATTATTACCTCATTTACATTATGTTAATTCTTTTTTTAAGTTATTAATTTTAACTTTGTGTTTTGAAAAGGAACAACTTGCTAAGGAAGAGGTCAGTTATTTTACTTCCAAATCAAGTTCTTAAGTGTCTGCCTGGAACAGTAGGTCTTCTGCCAGCAGACATAATTTGCTAATCAGTACTTGGTATATGGGCTTGTAAGAGAGTTTGTTTCATAATGCGTCCTTCTGATTATTAGTACAGCCCTGGAATATTATTTGTAAAATACATTAAATAGTACACTTAAATAGTTATTAGTAGGTTATTAAATATTTCAAAATATTGGGGCGCCTGGGTGGCTCAGTCTGTCGAGTGTCTGACTTCGGCTCAGGTCATGATCTCGTGGTTCATGAGTTCGAGCCCTGTGTTGGGCTCTGTGCTGACAGCTCAGGGCCTGGAGTCTGCTTCAGATTTTGTGTCCCCCTCTCTCTCTGCCCCATCCCTGCTTGTGCTCTGTCTCTATCTTTTAAAAATGAATAAACATTAAAAAAATTAAATATTTCAAAATATTATAATCATATATGTCATTAATTATAAACTCAAGTAAATATGTTGATTGAGCTTTTCCTTATCCCTACCATAGTTATAGTTGAAGAGTTTTTGTCCTTGTATTGTTTTCTAACATGGTTCCTTTCTTGTTTTTCCCCCCTCCTGTAGTTAGTAAAGTTATTTTGAGTGAAACAAATGGCATGTGCCCTAGTTTACAGGTTGTATGTGGAAGGTCTTGAGTATTTATTAACCTCACTTTTACTCTTTCTCACTTTTTGAATTCCTTAGAACTTATACATAAGTCTGTACAGCTATAATTGATTGATTGATTGCATGCACGTGTTGTGTTATTATTTGGGGGAGTATATTGTTTGTATGTCTTTTTCTCTCCCCTGTCAGCTTATAACCTTTCTACACTTTGTGGCTGCCTCTAATTTGGGTGTTACGGTGCATTTTTTTTTTTTTAATTTTTTTAACGTTTTATTTATTTTTGAGACAGAGAGAGACACAGCATGAACGGGGGAGGGGCAGAGAGAGAGGGAGACACAGAATCGGAAACAGGCTCCAGGCTCCAAGCCATCAGCCCAGAGCCCGACGCGGGGCTCGAACTCACGGACCGCGAGATTGTGACCTGGCTGAAGTCGGACGCTTAACCGACTGCGCCACCCAGGCGCCCCTCGGTGCATTTTTTTAATAGGGAGAGTTTTTCAAAAACCAACTTGTTAGTTCAAGTGACTACAGTTAAATTTTGTTAAGAACATGAAACCTAAATGGCATGTAACCCTACCAAAATGATAAAATTGCTGCTAGGATAATATTCAGAGGATATAATGGCTGGCTTGTCCAGATAAGGTGCTGCATAATGTTAATATTGTCAGTTTCTGTTTAAGACTTTTAAAAATTAAAAATCTTAGGGGTGCCCAGGTGGCTCAGTTGGTTAAGCATCTGACTTTGGCTCAGGTCGTGGTCTCACAGTTTATGAGTTCAAGCCCCACGTCGAGCTCTGTGCTGACAGTTCAGAGCCTGGAGCTGCTTTGGATTCTGTGTTTCCTCTTTCTCTGCCCCTCCCCCCACCTCAAAAATAAATAAACATTAATTTTTTTTATTTAAAATTGTAAAGACTAATATCTAGATCAGTGCTAATAGAAATTTCTGTCATGATGAAAATGTTCTTCTGTCTGTACTGATAAATATGGTAACCACTAGGTGCATGTGGCAGTTGACCACTTGAAATGTGGCTTGTGTGACTGAGTAACTGAATTTTTTATTGCTTTTAATTTTAACAATGTAAGTCTCTATTAAAATCTCCAGAACATAGAGTATTAACAGCACTAAATTGGAAAATGTATTAAGAGATACCACTAGCTTTTGTATGTAGTTAGGTTTTGTGGTCTGATTTGATGAGAAAATCAAAGGAATAGGAAATCTTCTTATAGGACAACCCTGTTCTATCATGTCTAATTTAGCGAATTAGCTCTAATAAGTGTCAAATTACATCCTTGGAATATGAGCACAGATGGTAAAAATTGATACAACCCTTCAGATGTCCCTATCAGCAGTTTTATGAGGACCTTGCAGTATATTTGTAGGTCCTATATACCAGCAGGCCCCCAGGAGGTTATGGAACACAGAATGACACTCTGTGGCCTTCTCTTGACAAAGTATACATCAAATCACATTCAGACCAACAATGAGGATAATCTTAAAAGGGGAAATGTAAATCATGGAAAGGTTAGTTTGCCATCTTGAAAATGGGTATGGTAGAGAGAAAGGATTTTTTGTCTTCTTGAGAAGTTACAGAGAGAAACACATTATAGATGTGATTGCTTGTACCATGTTTCTATTCTGGAAGTAAGACTGCCTGGTTTGAATTCCAGCACTGCCACTTACTAGGTATATGAAGTTGGGGGAGTTCTTTAACCTCACTAAATCTGTTTCCTCACCTGTGGAATGAGACTCAGCATCCTAAACAAGATAACATATAATGCAACTAACCACCATACACAGTAATTTTTCAGTGAATGATAACCTTACCATTGTTGTGGATTTGTGACTTAGAGTCAGTCTCATAACTGTAGGGTCAGACTAACTTTACGAATTGGAAACTTCCTGATCACCTACCTGGAGAAAACAGGAGTAAGGCCTCCCTAGGTTCTGCTCAATTCAGTATGTAACAGATTATTTGAGTCATAGGTTTTTGTATAATCTTAGAGAAAGCTTGTACAAGCTTTCTTTCTTATTCTAGCTATAATTTGCACATAGGAGATTAAAAATAATCTCGTTTTGTGCTTTTCCTTTAAAATAAATTAAGTCAAATAAAGCCTAAAGAAAATAGTAATGTACAAAATAATGATTCTTTTGCTGTTGCTGCCACATGTCTACTTAGGTCTCAATTCCTTTCATTTCACTTGAGTCTGAGCCCACTTGTTTTCATCACTATCTGAAAATGTCAGATTTTTCTTACTGAATCCTATATATGTCTGTTTTTCAGATTGTGAAACTAGCTATTTATGGCATGCTGCCAAAAAACCTTCACAGAAGAACTCTGATGCAGAGGTTGCATCTTTTCCCAGATGAGGTAAGTCAGTGGTTGTTAGTTATGATGCGTCAACAAGGAACCATGGCCAGAATACCTGTTAAATTGAGGGTACTCGTTGATTTCATCAGCTACAAAAAACGTGTGAATTTCATTTACATTTCAGGTGACTAGTAGCAAAATTTGCATGAATCGTGAACTAATAGCTTAGGTTTGGTTGCTAATTTATTTTCCTTGGTTTAATTTTAGAATACTTGTTCCTATTCAAAATGTATTCGGTTAAAAATGTACTTGAAAAAAAACATTTTCATTTATCACTGTTAAACTATTTTAAGTACTTGAGCTTTTCTGTTCAGTATACTGTAATGAAACACTAGAAGTTCTATAATAAAATATTTGAGTCCAAGCTCTGGAATCAGGTATCTGGATTAGAATTCATGATCACCATTTACTGATGTCATTATCTGTTTTCTCATCAGTATAATGGAAATAATGGTACCTACTTGCTAAGGTTGTGATAAGAGTTAAATGAGATAACATTTGTGGAATGCTTAGAACAGGGCCTGACACAGTAAGTGCTATTTGCTGTCATTACCATGGTTGTGATTGTTGTCCTTAGGGTTCCTACTAGAGGAATAATGTGGAAATGAATTCCAGACTATCAAGTTAATATCAGTGATTTAAATCACTGTGTGCTCTATTTACTTAGCTTAAGCAATGCATGAGTAAATTATTCGTGCTTTTATCAAAATGGTTAATGTATTACTTTTGCTTTGCATGAATGAGTAGAATTTTCCAGTATTCACTTTACCTCTGAAGTAACAAGTATGGGAGTAGTGTCATCATCTAAGGATAAATGACCTTCATGAAAGCACAGTTTTAAAACTCCTAGTTCTTTTTTTTAATTTATTTTTTTCTTATTTGAGAGAAAGAGCACATGCGAGCCAGGGAGAGGGGCAGAGAGGGAGGGGGAGGGGAGAGAGAGAGAGAGAGAGAGAGAGAGAGAGAGAGAGAGAGAATGAGAATCTCAAGCACTCAAGCAGGTTCCACATTCTTCATGGAGCCTGACTGAGGACTCAACCCCATGACCCTGGGATCATGACCTGAGCTGAAATCAAGAGTCAGCTGCTAACTGACTGAGCCAACCAGGCCCCCCTAAAACTCCGATTTCTGATTGTACTCTCCCATTTTTTTTAGAAACCATAATTTCTAAAAAAACAAAAAATGATAATGTAGATATAAAATCTTAGTTATTAGGCAGTCAAGTTTGAATGTGGATGTTTTAAGTATTCATGGTAGTTCAACTACAACAAATTACTTAAATAATTTCAGACTATAAAATTAATGAGTCCACTTCCCCCCCCAAAAAAAATTGTCAAATATTCAGAAGCTTGCTACACAGTTTGTTGTCCAGGCCATAGGGAAGTAGGCACTCAGATTGCTAGGAGTACAAAATGGTGCAACTCATAAGGAATCAGAGAATTAGATAACGTTACACAGAATACATACATAAGGAAAGTCAGGCTTAATCCAGCATTCTATTTTCTCTGAAGATACACAAAATTATTGTTTCACATTATTTATAATAGTACAATAATAGAAACTAGTATTTATTCAGAGGAAATTGGATAAACTATGTTATATCCATTTAGTCGGGTACTATGCAGTTATAAAAAAAGAACGCCAAATATTCTTATGATTTGATAACTAATGCTTTCTAGGATATATTGGTAAGTGAAAAAATATAGATAGCATACTACCTTTTGTCTGCATATACACATACATATGTTTACACACACATACATACTATAACTGCTGCTTACTATACAAAGAAACACAGGAAGAATAATTGAGAAAATAAAGATGGCTACTTACTGAAGCATGGGCACAAAAGGACAAAAGGAATAGGGAAGAGAATAAGGTTTTTGGAGTATGCCTTAAAGATTATTTATTTTTTTATTTTAACTTTGTTATCATGTTAAGATTTTATTCAAAAATAAAATGACAGCAGTAGTAGAAGTAAGCACAACTAGTGCCCAGATCTTGTTTTCTGAGTGCTATTTCTGACTAAAAAGAACCTGGTTCACCTTGGAGAAATGGTTGGTTCTAGGTCTGGAGCAGAGAAAGACCAAAGTTATTATGGAGTACACACATGCACACGCAATTATTATTATCTTCATTGTTTATACTGGAAAAATAATAAGTCACAGAAAGTAAGGCAGTGCTCAAAACGGATGGGGAAATATCAAGAGAACATAGGAGGCATTTTGAATTGGTGCCCACTGACCAAGTATGGGACTGTGTGATGTGAGCCTCAAAATGAATGGTTAAAATAATGGATTACGTTGAATAGAAAACAAAAATCTAGGGGCACATGGGTGGCTCAGTCGGTTGGGTGTCTGACTTCAGCTCGGGTCATGATCTCACGGTTCATGGGTTTGAGCCCCACGTTGGGCTCTGTGCTGACAGCTCAGAGCCTGGAGCCTTCTTTGGATTCTGGGTCTCCCTCTCTCTCTGCACTTCCCCCTCTCATGCTCTACCTCTCTCTCCTTCAAAAATAAATAAGCATTAAAAAAAAAGAAAAAGGAAAGGAAACAAAAATCTATGAGCCCATGGTGATAGTCCAAAAATCATTTTTAATTGTTATAATTTCCCTTTTCCTTTCTGGAGAAGAAAAAGCTTTTCTTTAGAGAAGAACGTCACCTAAAAAATGTAGAAATAATGCCGAATTAGAAAAGCTACCATTGGGGCGCCTGGGTGGCGCAGTCGGTTAAGCGTCCGGCTTCAGCCAGGTCACCATCTCGCGGTCCGTGAGTTCGAGCCCCGCGTCAGGCTCTGGGCTGATGGCTCAGAGCCTGGAGCCTGTTTCCGATTCTATGTCTCCCTCTCTCTGCCCCTCCCCTGTTCATGCTCTGTCTCTCTCTGTCCCAAAAATAAATAAACGTTGAAAAAAAAAAATTAAAAAAAAAAAAGAAAAGCTACCATTATCAGCATATTCTATAGTCACTGGGTAAAAGATTATTGTACAACAAGATATTCACACAATGTCAGAACATCAGGCCATAGAGTACTTACTGTTTGAAAGGAGAAAGATACTTTTTTATGTTAAAGATACCTGGTGGACACCAACCATAACCAAGAGATCAAACATTAACATTAACATGGAACAGACCAACATCATGTACTTCCTGCTTTGAATGAAGCACTGAAGACCCAACACAGACTATTTAGCGTTCTGCCAAAAATGTTTAACCTAAGTCTAATCATGAGGAAACAATCCTACAAATCCAAATAAAAGGACATTCTACAACATAATTGGCCTGAACTCTTCAAAAGTATTAATTTCATGAAAGAAAAAGCAGGGATAGTCTTTGTATTAAAAGAGACTAGGCTGAAGAATTTATTATGTGTGTTCAACAACATAGTAACAGCATAAATAACTAAGTGTAGCATGTGACCCTTGACTGGATTTTACTCTGAAAAAAAGATATATAAAACAATATTTGATCAGTTTGGGAGGTTTGGATACACACTTGTATTATTAGGTAGGAAATATTTCATCAATATTAATTTTCCTAAACATGAATTTGTAATGTGATATAGGAGACAATCCTTAAATTTAGGAAATAGACAATGAAATATTTAGGGGTGAAATATTTGCAGATTGCTCTCAAATGGTTCAGCCAAAAAGAAAAGTTGTGTATGTGTGTTTGTATATAGTGAAAAGGAGGAAAGCAAACATGTCCTATTTTGACAATTGGTGAATTTAGGTGAAGGTTAGAGAAGTGTTCACTGTATTCTCACAACTTTTCTATAGATGTGAAATTTCTTTAAAAACTGAAAAAAGTAATAAGGCAAATATTATCACCTTACCCCCTGTTTATTCCACTCATTCGTTTCCTTATTCCTCATTTAGGTTAATCTTTCAGTCTGTATAGAGAACTCTTAAATCTTGAACACATCAGTCATCATGGCTGGGTTACCTTCTGTGTGTACGGATTAAAGGAGGGACTTTCCTCTCGTCCAGATTTCGTGTGTAATGCCTGATCAACAACTTTCACTCCTCGTTTTGCACTGTTTCAATGCATTCTTTCAGTAAACTGTTCAAATAATGGGGAAAGTTTGTAAGTTCATTTTAGTCAAAATTCTCTTCAATTCAGCAAACATTTACTAACCCACTATGTTCCACACCCTCTGCTGTGTAAGCACTTGGCAACTTTTGAAATTGTCTTTGCAAATAATATAGGGATTTTTTTAATGGAGTGTGAAATACTCATAAATTTTTATAAATATCAAACTGGCAAGTAGACTTTTTCAGGAAGTGAAAAATTAGAGCAGTGTAATATGTCCAGGCATCCTTTGCTTACCAGTGCCATGTAATTAAACTTAGGGACTTGAATACACTGGGGAAGGGATGTTAAATATTTTTACAATGCTTCTCAATGAACAAACACATTGTCAGTAGTATTTGTTGTATTTTGTATACATTGATAGTGACTTACCCTATACAAACCATAACTTTAAAAAGCCAACTTAAGTTTTTTTTAATATTATAAAAATTATGCCATATTAGGTTTTAGAACAAGTTTATAATGCCATAGAGCTCTGTGATTCTTTGAAGCTGTTTCAAAATTGTATTTTGATTCTTAAGACATTGAATAGGAAACAGTAACTATTTTGATGCCGTGTCCTTGCCCACATTTGATTCCCAATTATGATATGCTCTTTGCAGAGAATTATACTTTATAGTAATCTTTTTTTAAGAAATGTTTTCGGGGAGCCTGGGTGGCTCAGTCGGTTGAGCGGCCGACTTCGGCTCAGGTCATGATCTCGCGGTCTGTGAGTTCGAGCCCCGCATCAGGCTCTGTGCTGACAGCTCAGAGCCTGGAGCCTGTTTCAGATTCTGTGTCTCCCTCTCTCTGACCCTCCACCGTTCATGCTCTGTCTCTCTCTGTCTCAAAAATAAATAAACGTTAAAAAAAATTAAAAAGAAATGTTTAGGAACATGCTATTATGGAAAAAGGGAAATATATTTACTATCCCTGAAGAAATACTCATAGGACAATTTTCATATTGATATCCAACCATTATTTAAGTAGAGTCTCCAAAATTAACCTAGCCATCCACACTCACAAGACAATTCCCTTCCCCTATTTCTGTATCATGAGCACAATATAAATGTAAGTTCTTTTGGTTACTCATGCTCCTTATTTTATCATTTCCTTTATTTTGTTCAATTTCTGTTTTTCTTTCAAAATACAACTTCAAAGCCATGGATGGGTGTGTGTGAAGGGCTGAAGCATCAGAAGTGGCCTTGGAGTGAGGACATGGGTTTGAGGAATGACCTTTTGAAATTGTAAGCCTTTGGAGGCCATCATCTTTTTACTTTCTCTTTTATTTTTTTTTTAATGTTTTACTTATTTTTGAGAGAAAGAGAGAGACAGAGTGTGAATGGGGGAGGGGCAGAGAGGGAAACACAGAATCCAAAGAGGGCTCCAGGCTCTGAGCTGTCAGCACAGAGCCCAACACAGGGCTCGAACTCACGAACCACAAGATCGTGACCTGAGCTGAAAGTTGGGACACTTAACTGACTGAGCCACCCAGGCGCCCATCTTTTTATTTTCTTTTATATTCTGAGCACCTAGCACAACTTCTGGTTCATAGAAGGAGTTCAGTAAATGTTTTTTGGCTAAATGACTCAAAGATCCAGCAGACTTTCATTTTCCAAAGTTTTTTTCTGTCAACAACATGGAGTGTGAACTTAAAGGTTGTGGCACTGGAAGCCACAGACCCAGTGCATTCACTCATCAGGTGAAAAATCGTGGGAATCAGCCAAGGCAGTGCCTTTTTTCAGTTAAAAGGAGGGAAATAAATGAAATGGTTTAAAAGAAATAGATAGGACTTAGTGACTCGATAGTCCTTAAAACTGAAGATGTCTAATTTGTCATGAGAAATAGGTTTGTCAAGATTAAAATATAAGGTACATTATTATAATGAGATTACTTTTATCATTAATGTACTTCTCGGGGATTTTCATGGTGTTTTAAAGATGATACTGTTTTCTTCATTGTAAATATTTTTTGTTTGTTTTTTAATACTTCCTAAGTATTACTAATTTGTTAGTAAGGGATATATTTTAAGAAACGTAAACCTAAATTGTATTTAACCTAGGATATACCAGAAGATATTCGTGAGAATTTAGTCGAGGAGCTTCCTCAGCCACGGAAAGTGCCCCGACGCCTCGATGAGTACACAAAGGAAGAAATCGAGGCTTTCCCAAGAGTGTGGTCTCCGTAAGTCTTCTCTCTTTCCTGTCTTTGTTTCTGTTTCTCTATTTTTTTAAGCTGAGTTTAGTATCCCCTGTTTCCTTAACCAAATGACAAGATCCTTGAGGGTGGGAAGAGTAAACTTTTATTTTTTACTCCCTCGGATACTCTTTGCATCTTCTACAGCAAATAAACTCTACATGTAGATGTTAGAACCAAAAGTCTCGAAGTCTTTAAACCTTGCCCAGTACTTGCAGGGGTGTTCATAGGTGCCTATGATTGCTAGATACTTTGTTTGGGATGGCATTACTTGGATCGACTGTAGTCTCTTGGAATGATGAATGAATTGTCGTTTCTTAAAACAAAGTGATTCTTCATTTTCCAGATTGCTTCACTAACCTGAGAATATCATCTAATGCAAAGTCGTTAATTCTGGATAATTTTTTTTTTAATTTTTTTTTTCAACGTTTTTTATTTATTTTGGGGACAGAGAGAGACAGAGCATGAACGGGGGAGGGGCAGAGAGAGGGAGACACAGAATCGGAAACAGGCTCCAGGCTCCGAGCCATCAGCCCAGAGCCTGATGCGGGGTTCGAACTCACGGACCGCGAGATCGTGACCTGGCTGAAGTCGGACGCTTAACCGACTGCGCCACCCAGGCGCCCCTAATTCTGGATAATTAATAGCCTTGATCCAAATAGAAAAACAAAATAATAAAACACTTTTTGGTATCCTCTACACAATTTCCTCTCTCTATGGTCCGGAAAGCTGCTGAGTTTTGACATACTATTTCCCATCTGATTGTTTCCAGGTTTCCTTATCTGGCCTTCCAGGCTGTCCGTGACCTGGCTCCTCTCTGTCTCTGAAGCTTACGTTCTTCCCACTTCATTAGTCTAATAATAGCAGCTTGTTTAAGATTGTCACCCTTTTCATGCAATTTAATTCTTTCTTGCTTTTGTTCTATTACTTTGCCTGAAACAACATGCCCCTCGCCTCATCCTCTGCAATAACCCTAACTCATTCTTTCGACCTTAGTTCAGATATCACCACCAATAAGAAGTCTTGCCTAAACATCAAGACCAGACTATGTGCTCAGCCATCTTCTGCCATATTACCTGCTGTGTAACTCTGTCATTACCACACTTAGCTCTTCAAGAGCAAGGGCTGTGTCTTGTTCGTCATTGCCTCCCCAGTGCGTAGAATAGTACTTCATATAATGAAGTCTTGGGGACATTTACAGAATATATACAGTAGGTCTAAAAGAGAACCACACATCCTTATTGCTCGACCTACACAAGACAGCTCATCTTCCCACAGATACTACCCTCTGTGCTCTGAAAATTCATATCCCTTTATTGGCTCTTTACTCAGATAGGTTTGTGAAATATAGGTGAAATCACATACTTGTGAAAATATAAGCCTTCCCAGGATTGTCAGTATGCACAGCAATCTAATCTTGGACTCTGTTGTTATTACATGTATATAATCTTCAGAGTCTTTCCACACAGAAGTCTTTAGGATATTCTGTTTGAATCTTTTTAACTTTACTGACTTGTATCAAGGTACTCCTTTACTAAATCTGCAGATAAACAAAATAATGTAATTATTAGTGACATTTATTATAGTAACTATTTATTGGACACTTTACCAATTGCCCAACACTGTGCTAGGTATTTTGCGTGCATTGCATTTAATTCTCTCCACAGGCCTATAACATAGATACATTATTCCTATTTTTAAGTGTAAGGCAACGGTCATCAGGTTTGTATATAGCCTGCATTTGAACCCAACTGTGTCTGATTGCAAAACCTATTTTCTTTCCATAGAAGCAAACTGCTTCATTAATTTAATTTCTCAACAAATAATATTTCAGCTACCTCTTCTGTATAAGATACCGTCATGGGCACTAAGACACATGGAGAAACAGCATTAAAACAATTATTTAATTCAGGTGCACAAACTTCTACCAAGTTTATGCTATGTGCCAGACCTTTTGATACATGTCTAGGTATACAGATGGTGAAGCATTTAAATATAACCTCCTCCATAAGTCCTTCCTACACTCCTTAAACTGGATTAGCCCCCTTTAATAGGGTCTTATTGTACACTTCCTTTTCATTTACTGCATTTATTCTAATGTAACAAAATATCAGGGTGATTTTTTTTGTTGACTGTCTTCCTGTAACTAGACTCCGTGAGGGAACTGCATGTTGTC